GAAACATCTGCAAGAAAAGAACCAAGCTCAGAGCACCAAGGACCCCACAGTCCTCCTCCTCCTCCTCTGTACACCTCACTCCCTTCTAGCACTGATGATGTTTCCTAGTTGGGTCATGAAACATCTGCAAGGAAACAGCCAGGCTCAGAGCACCAAGGACCCCACAGTCCTCCTCCTCCTCCTCCTCCTCCTCCTCCTCTGTACACCCCACTCTCTTCTAGCACTGATGATGTTCCCTAGTTGGGTCATGAAACGTCTGCAAGAAAACAGCCAAGCTCAGAGCACCAAGGACCCCACAGTCCTCCTCCTCCTCCTTCTCCTTCTCCTTCTCCTCCTCTCTTGGCTGATGCTAATGTGAAGGGCAGATATTCATGTGAAGAACCCTCTGTGAATATTAACAAAATCGACTTACTCCCATTTGCCAGATATGTCAATGTCGACATTGGAGATGTGGGTGTTACAATCCAAGGTGGTAATCGTTGGTCTCCCAGCAGCATCATTCCCCAGTTGCAAGCCCACGGAGATGGAGATGCCGTCAACCTTCAGTTCAAAGGAGCCGCGGTCTTTGCTGGTAGGAGACACAACACAACAGGAGTACTCCCCAAAATCTCAGACATTTGTTTCAAGAGATAACGAAGCCACCAGCCTAAGCCTAGGCTGAAGCAGTTATTCCTGTTATTCAATTCCTTGTCGTGTCCCCTCCCACTGCTCAACCTGATAGTGTCCTGTTTGACACTGGTGTGCGGCCTTGCAGGACTACAATGTTCATATAGAGGTCAAGATGTATTTATTTATTAAATTGATATGCCACCCATCGCATTACCCAGACTGGCCCTGGGAGGCTTACGATGGCAAAAAAAGCAGAAGTATAAAAGCATTAAAATTAAGAGCAATTAAATAAAGGTAAAAATCAAAGTGGATTTTGTCTCTCACTCAATCAACCAAGTCATCTAACTCATTCAGTTCACTCAACCAATCAACACACACAACTCAACCAACCAACCAACTCATACAACCTATTCAAGTCACTCAACCAAACAACCAATGCATCCAATTCATCCAACTCACTCAATCAACTAACCAACCGATTTACCCAACTCACTCAACCAACCAACCAACCAACTCATCCAACCCATTCAATCCACTCAACCAAAGAACCAATCAACTCATCCAACTCAACCAACCAACTCATACAACCTATTCAACTCACTCAACCAAACAACTCATCCAACTCACCCAACCAAACAACTAGCTCATTGAACTCATCCAACGCACTCAACCAACCAACTCATCCAATTCATCCAACTAAACAACTAACTCATTGAACTCTTCCAACTCAACCAACCAACTTATCCAACTCACTCAACCAAACAACTAACTCATTGAACTCATCCAATTCATTCAACCAAACAACTAACTCATTGAACATCCAACTCACTCAACCAAATAACTAACTCATTGAACTCATTGAACTCATCCAACTCACTCAATCAAACAAACAAACAACTCATCCAACCCATTCAATCCACTCAACCAAAGAACCAATCAACTCATCCAACTCAACCAACCAAACAACTAGCTCATTGAACCCATCCAATGCACTCAACCAACCAACTCATCCAACTCACTCAACCAAACAACTAGCTCATTGAACTCATCCAATGCACTCAACCAAACAACTCATCCAACTCACCCAACCAAACAACTAACTCATTGAACTCATCCAACTCACTCAACCAAACAACTCATCCAATTCATCCAACTAAACAACTAACTCATTGAACTCTTCCAACTCACTCAACCAAACAACTAACTCATTGAACTCATCCAATGCACTCAACCAACCAACTCATCCAACTCACTCAACCAAACAACTAGCTCATTGCACTCATCCAACTCACTCAACCAAACAACTAACTCATTGAACTCATCCAACTCACTCAACCAACCAACTCATCCAATTCATCCAACTAAACAACTAACTCATTGAACTCTTCCAACTCAACCAACCAACTTATCCAACTCACTCAACCAAACAACTAACTCATTGAACTCTTCCAATTCATTCAACCAAACAACTAACTCATTGAACATCCAACTCACTCAACCAAACAACTAACTCATTGAACTCATTGAACTCATCCAACTCATTCAACCAAACAACTAACTCATTGAACATCCAACTCACTCAACCAAACAACTAACTCATTGAACTCATTGAACTCATCCAACTCACTCAATCAAACAAACAAACAAACAACTCATCCAACTTAACCAAACAACCAACACATCCTTCCATTATTGGATGGTTCTAGACCCCTCTGAAGAATGGAAGATCTGCATCTTAAGGTTTCTTCTGGACTTGGTGCTTTTGACCAGCTTTGCTGCTCAAAAGCTAAGTCCCACTATGGCAGTGTTTCTCAACCTTGACAATTTTAAGGCATGTGAACTTCAACACCCAGAATTCCACAGCCAGCATTGCTGGCTGTGGAATTCTGGGAGTTGAAGTCCACATGCCTTAAAATTGTCAAGGTTGAGAAACACTGCACTATGGAGATACAAGACCTTGGCCATGTGTTGACTCCATTCAATGTGGACTAAAGTTCCATGCTTTACACAGGGCTGCTTTAACAGATGTTGCTGAAATTCAGCTAGTAAATACTTAGTCTGCCCAGTTGCCTGGGAGGGGCATTGAGGACCCCAAGCTCATAGACGCGATGCAGAAGTCTTCCTGGCCCAACAGAAAAGATTTTTGTTCCCCTTCCACTTGCACAGAGGTAGTTATCCCAAAGGTTGTTTTTTTTTTAAAGGCAACTGGACTTTCTTGGGGGGGGGGGTTGCTTGAAAACTTTTGCTTCTCATCCAACGATGTCAGAATCCAATTACATATAAATTCTAGCTACCTACTCTGAAAAAAGATCCATTTCTTACTCTTTGTGGATTCTGTCATACTACGAAAGGGGAGGAGGGAGCAAGGGGGTTTATGACTCTCACTTCCTTCATTTAAACTACAAAGGACTGGATGTGATTCTTATCAAGAGGACTGACCATAACAATATGGCCACAGCCTTTCATCTACTATCTCTCTGAAGTCTCCCTTCTGCCGGCAGCGAGGAAAAAGGGGGTGGAAATGTAACGCCTGGGATCATCACTGGAAGGACGGTGGGGTGGGGGCTGCTTGGGACCACTTAAAGCATTGAATGGTAGGGGTTGGCCCCTCAGATCCTGTCTAGCATGCCTGCAACCATCTTCTCTTAATAAAGATGCCTGTTGGAAGAGATATTCCAAGAGTTCTGTCTTCTTAAGATGTAAAGTGGGGTGGGTCCTTACAAAAAAAGTTTCTTTTATTTCTTGCATGAGAAGAAAAACGTTTCCAAAGGGGGGAAAAAAAACCAAGAAAATCCAGTTGCCTTTTAAAGAAAACACGTTTGGGACAACCATGACCTGGATGATGGAGGATCTCCACGGGCACAGAGGTAGATAAAATTATTCTAAAGTGTGTGGATTTGTGATACCAGGCAATGGGGTCCCGAGCTTCTGTTCTAAACCATGGGGTTGAAAGGTCCGTGTGATGTCCAAGAGGCCAGCCATGATAGCCCCTGAATGAACTTTCTGTTTTGAGAGGGAGTTGCAGTTATTTCTGCCACGAAACAGAGGGATGAATGGCCGTCAGGTACTCAGCCAGTTTCAGAAGCAACAACAAAGGTACGGAAAGGTAAGGAGCAGCGAGACTCACAACCAACGTTTCTTCAGCTCCCAACGGCCAGTCATTTCAGCCAAAGCATTCCTGATGGAGACCCTCACGCCCTGGCCTGGCATGGGTTCAATTGTTGAATTGGGCAGCTCGAACCTACGAATGTTCAGACTGAAAACAAGGATGGAGAGGAGAAAAAAAAAAGCTTTTGAATTTCTGAGTTGAGTGGCTGGGCTTCATCTTGCCATCAGCGTGTCCAGCCACATCGATTCAAGACTGAGCAGTTACATTCAGCCCATTTGCTAAGCTTTGGTAAATATGCACCAATATGATGAATAATCTTCAGTCAAATCTACTGTACGGTGGAAACTTACTGAGTAGACAAACAAGCTTGCCAAAGAAACTACAATGGATGGGAACCAGGAAAGGGTAGCATAAAGGGAGGATGTAAGATAGAGTAGAGTAGAGTAGAGTAGAGTAGAGTAGAGTAGAGTAGAGTGGAGTGGAGTGGAGTGGAGTGGAGTGGAGTGGAGTGGAGTGGAGTGGAATGGAATGGAATGGAATGGAATGGAATAGAATAGAATAGAATAGAATATAGCATGGAATGGAATGGAATGGAATAGAATAGGAATAGAATAGAATAGAATAGAATAGAATAGAAT